GAGAGAGAGAGAGAGAGAGAGAGAGAGACAGAGTGTGTGTGTGTGTGTGTGTGTGTGTGTGTGTGTGTGTGTGTGTGTGTGAATGTGTGAATTCTTCTGTTCCCCATCTGTCTTCCCTGACAGTTGGAGAGTGGAGCCAGGAGGGATTAGGTGGGAGGCTGCCTCCTGTGAGGGAGACAGACAGGCTGAAGCCTAGACAGCCGGGAGAAGGGGTTATGACAACAATGGCTGCTCCTCGTAGTTGATGAGGCCAAAGAGAACCCTTCTGCCTCTCTGAGTGGGAGTCTGAGGGGAACAGGGAAGGCTGTTAGGTCTGAAGCATGCGAAGAGGACCAGCTATTCATCAGTCAAGATAGAAGGATCCAACTTCCAGTAGAGAGGGTCTGTGCTGCACAGGACAGCATGCTTTACCGAACAAAATGCAGCCACTTCACAGTCAAAGGCACAGGTAGGAAAGAGGGAGAAGGGCATAGGTAGCGTCCAGGAATTCAAGGGAGAAGGCACCAAGGGTTGTTGCCAAGGAGACTATGGACAGCATAGCAAGACTTCCATAATGCTCCAATCAGACCAGACACGCCTAAGTAGACTCATGCACCCGCTATGGCGCTGTGCGGCGGCCATGCTGGATCCGCCTCAGGCCTGAGCAGTGGCATTCTAGCCCAGGACCCACTCTGCATCCCAAAGAGACCATAGCAAGATTGGGCCCTGCTCAGGAAAACACTATCCCAGGCATTAAACAGTTAAAATTAGGAAATATTACAAAAGTGTTTAATTTTTTCAAAAAGTTTGCTTTCCCCTCGTGATATTCTCAAGTAAGCTCCCTGGACACATGTCGTCTGACTTCATGGTGCTCTCCCTGGCGGAAAGGCCTCCTCTCTGGTCCTCTGGCACGTCAAGCTGATTCCCATCTCAGAATTTTGCCGTACCCGTTCGTTCCCTCTGCCTGAAACACTTCTTTAACACCCCTACCCCCAAAGCTCCTTGCATGTCTGTGTTTTTATCATTCTTCAGATCTCAGTTCAAATATCACCTCCTCAGAGAAACTTTTCTGGACATCCTATTTCAAGAAGCTAAATGCTCCACCCTCTGCCTCTTAGGTCAGAATACTACCACCCTTCCTGGCAGCTGTCTCCTTCTACTGGCTTGTATTCATAAGCTCCTGGTAGGGCTTTCTCAGGTTCACCGCCATAGTCCCAACATCTAGAAGGATGCCTGGCATCTAGCAGGCGTTGAATAATTTGGTGAATAATTTATTATTTGGTGGGATGTCACCACTAGAAAGAACCTTAGGGATAATATAATCCAACCCCCTGTTGTACAGACGAGAAAACTCATACCCAGGAGGTGAAGCATCCTGCCGAAAGTCGCATCGTAAGCTAATGGAAGAGCTGGCGTCAAAACCCAGTCCTGGGACAGCGCCTTTCCCCACATCGATCTGACTGGCTCACAACCGAGTTACACAGGACGAGAGCACTGCTTACCGGAAACGCAGCCCATACACTTGAATCTCTCTGTCACTCTTCCTCTAAGCTCCCTCCTCCCCTACAGACCACACGGTCTTAACAATTCTGATCATGGCTCAGCTTGCTGGTTTGGACAGAGCCCTCACTTGCCTTGGCTCGTGTAGATAAAATGTCACAGTATGGGCTGGGAGCCTCCTTCTCCCAGAACCCAAGTGAGTGTGGCTTTTGTGTCTCATGAAGGACCCTCGATGCAGCTGTGCTCAGGGGTTGTGTCACAGACTCCCAAGAGTAATTGCCTGGAAATGAGACTGGCTCAAAATATCTCCAATGTGACAATAAAATTCTGTTACCACAGGATCCGGCATGGAAAACTCTGTCCCGTTAGGTCAGCTAATTGCAAATAAGTCAGTGACTCGTTTTCCCCATAGTGAAGAGCCCATTGACAGATGAGAGGCTGGAGTGTCCACGCCTCAGTCCAGTGATTAATGCCACCAATGAAGCATCTATTTAGTCTTGCGGGAGCTGCCGAGGCTGGCCCTTGGCACCCGTCTCACCTTTCACACTTCACATCCGGTTTCGTGCAGGGTCCGTAAGCCTGCTGGGCACAAACCCTGGGGTCCAGACCGCTCTGCCCAGAATAAAGGCGCTTTTTGTTGAGGGCCCATAACAGGAAGTCACTATTTTCTGGGTCAAATCACACGCTATATTGCTATCAATGTTAACATGGAGATAAGTCACCAGTTCCTACCCATTGAGAGAGGTGGGCGAGGTGTACTTGTGGGCATGCGTTTGCGGGTGTGTGTGTATGTAAGTAGTCAAAGGTTCTGTCCAATTGCTGAGGCGTAAGTCCGTCTCAGCTGTGACTGACTCGAGGCCTCCTTGGAACCATATTAGGAAGTTCTATTTTGAGAAGTGACTCCCCACACGAGGGCTGACTTTCCTGCCCATGGAGAGGGAAGAATGGGCCTTTTGTCCCTGACCCTGACCAAACGGGCTGCTGCTTGAGCAAGGGGCGAAAGGTGGCCCAGTCAGGAGCACAAACTGTTTTCCTATGAAAGGCGGCTGTCACCGCGCAGAGGTTCTTCCCGTGGGCCCGCCCCAGGCAGGCTTCCTCTCAGCCTCTTCTGGAAGAGGAGATAGCTGCCCCCAAATTGTTGCCAGAGAATCCATATCTGCCGAGCTCTTAGGCTCAGGGTTAATTGAGTTAGTGCACTTACAACTACCATGTAGAAAGTTTTCAGAATATGCTGTTATTAATATTCTTCTTCGAATCATAAGATCACGGTCCATTAATGATAGGGAGAGCCTTAATGGCTGATCATCTGGTCTTACCTCCCATTTTACAGGGATGAGGGAATTGAGGTCAAAAGAGGGGAAGTGACCTGCTTGAGGTCAACTTAGTACCAGAGTAAGGATCCATTCATTCATTCATTTTATTGACAAGTATTTGCTGAGTACCCACTAAGGCCCAAGCCTCTGCTTGGGCCTGGGAATATAATGGTCAGAATAAAAGCAGCTGGCCCTTCCTTCACAGAGCTAGTATAGTGAGGGAGACAGGCATTCATTCTATAATTACACAATATAACTGTGGTGGCATTAAAAAAAGATAATATTAATATACATAAATAGTGCTAACTATGAACCAGGTCCTGTTCTAACCTTTATTAACTCACTTAGTCCTTACAACCCTATGAAGTAGGTACTGTAATTGTCCCCAGTTTTCACACGAGGAAACTGAGGCATGGAGCTAAGCAGAGGCAGAGCTGGGATTTGAACCCAGGAAGTCTCACTCTACAGTCAAGAGATCTCAGATCACTATGATTGACTGATTTTCACTGCCTTTGGCCCAGGATGCTAGCCCAAAGTGGAGCACTCTAAGCAAACTCTGTAGCAGTCACTGGGCCTCTGAGATCAAGGGCCCACTGGCCCTGGGCAGATCTGAGTTGAGATGGAGATTCTGTGAGAGCTGTGTGACTGGTGGGCAAGGCTGGGCCTTGGCTGCACAGATGATTTTGGCCATACAGATGAGAAACAGAAGCAGCTTTCTAGTCCACTCTGGGTGTACTTCTAGTCACACAGCTTCTGGTTGATAAAATGGCTTTTGAGTTCAAGGGCCCTGTTTACATTCACAGCTACTGACAGGGTAGAGGTTCCATGGACATGTGTTGAGTGAAGCTCAGAAATATTTTGTAGCTGTATGCTGGGCCTGGTTTGTGTTCTCTTTTGGGTCGGGCATGAGAAGGGGGATCCTGGGAAGGTGCAGCAGACATGATGCCTTCCTTGTTCATTGACTCTGATGTGGACAAGTGCAGCACTGTTGCAAGAAGGGTGTTTTCTGAAATAACTAAACCTCATTCATCTGGACTCTAATTCAGAAATTATGAGAGTTCAAGGAGGGCTGGAGGTTTACCTCCATATTACCCAGGAATAAAGCATGTGTTATACAAATAGGCAGTATAAACAAGGGCACACCCCTACTCTATTTCAAAAAATAAATGACTTCAAATTATTTTGAGCACGTAAATGCTGGGCTGCATACAATTACTGCACTTCCCAGGTGTGTCCTGTATCAGTTCTGGGGGGCAAACCTGGCGGGCACCTATTTGCAGCAGTTAGGTTCAGTTACTCTTCTGCTGATGACCAATGGCATCCTTTAACCATAGCCTATAATTGCAATTTGTCTTCAGTTCAGACTGATCTTTTCCCCAGGGAGGCTGATGTAATGAAGTGTGATATTCAGTACTCAGGATTGGAGCAGTTTGCCGTCTGCTCTGGAAAGCTAAAACTAATTAGCCCTGCAGTAGATTTTCCCCTACGTGCTCAACCTTAAACCAAAGTAGCAGGGAAGGAAAGAAATAAGGTACTTGGGTGTGAGATTCTTCTCTTTGGAAACTTGAAACTTACTGAGGGTAGTTGCAGGAACCTCTTGAATTTACCTCCCACCCTCCAAAGCACCTTGGAGTGTTCAGGGCTGAGGGCTGGGGGCTGAGAGTTGGAGGATTTGCATTTGAGTCGGCTTTGTCACTTACTGGATGCCTGACCTGGGTCAAATTACCTTCTGAGGCTGTCTCCTCATCTTTCAAAACTGGAGAAAAATGCCTTCTTCCCCGCTAAAGAATTAAGTGAGCCTGTGTGTTTGGAAGTGCCTAAAACAGTGCTTGATGCATAAATGTTAATGAAAAACAAAACAAAGGAGTCTGTCTTTAGAGAGTACCCTCCCCCGGAGAAGCACTGACCTCACTCATCAACCTGGGAGAGATGTGATACAATTAACTTCTCCCCATCCTATTTTCTCAATGGACACTGAGGCAGGAACCAGGAAGCGCAAAGTTCGAGTGTGTGGTGAGGTCAGAGGTTGTCAAAGACCTAGTCTAAGGGCCACGGGGCCTGGCGTTGCAGAGGCCAGACAAGGACCCTGTCACTGCCCACACCTAGTCTGGATTCAAAGTGCTCTTCTCTGGACTTTCATTGAGTCCTCAGCCCTTCGATTAAATGACAGTGCTCCAGTCTATTAAATGATAGGGCTCCAGTCGGGGTCTGTTGTGGCTTCCAGAGCGGATGGTACAGACCTATTTTTGATCACCAGGGACTGCATGGGCCTTTAGGGAACACTGGCTTCTTTTTAAGGCAATGGCTTTAAAAATATACCCCCAAAAACAGCATCAGAAATTTCATGAGGAGGAATGTGGGAGTGTTAGCTTGATCGGGCCACTGTTGCTTAGACTAGGGTCTCCTACTGGAGTGTGAGCTCTCCCAAAGCAGGCACGTTTCTGTCTCCTTCCTCACGGTATTCCCAGAGGCTACAGTAGTGCTTGCCACATAGTAGGCACTCAACAAATCATTTGAGGATTGAATGAATGAATGAATGAATGAGCTGCTTAGACCCTGACCTTGTCCACAGCAGCAGCTCTAAGTCATTTAGCGGATCACAGAGAGGAGCACGGACTCTGCTCCCAAGAGAAGCAGTACCTACGGGAGCCGGCATCTCTGTGTGACGTGGTTGGAAACCTGTAATGAATGCCCCAGGCGATGATTTAGTGGCATCAACTTCTGGGCTTGTCTGGGGATTATACCAGGGCTCCCCTTGGTACTGCAGATGGAAATCACAACAGACGCCTGTTTGCCCCCGAGTGCCGTGTATTGTGAATACATTCTCCTCGGTGCCCTCCCTTGGAGGCAAGTCTGTGTGCTGACCGCTGATGTAACTGCGGCCTCCACCCTAGCTCACGTCCTGCCATCTCTCTTCTAGGCTCCTGCAAGCGCTTTGGAGCAGAGCTCCAGGCCTGTACCAGCCCGCCTGCGTGCGGGTCCGTCCTGCGAGTGCCATGAGAGCGCTCTGCCTTACACATAGCTCTCCTCTTGCCACTCCCAGGCTCACAAGCCTCCCGTGGCTCCCACACCTGCGGAACCCAGTAAACGTCCCCAGCAGGCCACGCTGTGGTTCATGCTGGCCCCACTTCCTGTTTACTCATCTGTTCAATAAACACTCAGAGAATGCTGACATGTGAGAGGTGGCAGGGGTGGTGCTGAATAACTCAGACAGCCAGGGTCACACTGCCTGGGTTCAAGTCCTCAGGCGAGTCACTCTCACTTTCTCTTCTGCAAAGGTTACCATGAGGATGTGTAAAGTGCCTGGCACATGACACAAGTTCAGTAAAAGTTACCTGCTCTTTCTGATAGATGGCATGTCCTGTGACCTGGGGATACTAGACTTATTTTTGGCCTTCAAGGAGCTTTGGGGTCTCCCGTGGAGTCAGGAGAGTCAGTGTGGGAAGCGTTACCAACAGAGGAGAGCCCAGGGTGCTGTGCGAGTCAGAGAAGTGGCACCTGGAGGAAGTCCTGGAGGAAGGAAAGGGGTAGTGCCAGGAAGTGCCACAGAGACAGCGAGACGCCTGAACTGAACAACAAGCAGGAGAGGCTGGGGAAGAGACTCCAAGCCAGAGGAAACAATATCGGCGAAGACCTGGGGGAGCTGCACGTGGGCTGGCATGGCTGGAGCCAAGATTGGGGATGGGGGCGGTGTCATTGGTAGGCCAGAGAGGCAGGCAGAGCCCAGATGGTAACGAGTCTTGAGAGACATGCTAAGGAATTGAACTTGACTCTGAAAGCGATGACATGTGAAAGAGAAGAGAGTCTATGGTCGGTTGGGTTTTTTTTCCAAAAGCTTCCCTCAGTTACAGTGTAGCAGATGGACCAGAGACGGGCACATTTAGTGTCACGGAGACCAATGGGAAGGCTTTTGTCATCATCTAGGTTAGAAGAAGACCTGAGCTGAGGCAAAGACAGTGGGGGTGCAGAAGACACTGAGGATGTAGAATCGAGTGGAACCGGTGACCAGCTGTGTTTGGGGCCAGTGCACAGGAAAGTGTCTAAGACAAGTAGCGTGCCCAAAACTGGTATTACAGGCGCAACCACAATTTCCATGTGCCACGGGACACAAAGGGTCCGTGTGGTTTGTTAGACAGCGAGGAGTCAAAGGGAATGTGTGGCCTGAGAACGATCTGATAAAAGGTCCACATCAGGAGGATTCTTCTGGTAAGATTGTGTGTGGGCTAGGCTGGAAAGGAACATGCCTGGGAGACAGAGAGACAGAAAGGCGCCGAGATACTAGTCCTGACAGGGCTTGTTGAGGGTCCTGGTCATAGCTGGTCTGCACCAGCACCAGGATAGTGATTGGAAAGGAGGCGGAAGGTCCAATCAGAGGGGGGCAGGCAGAAAAAGGGCAACAGACATCACAGCTGATTGGATCCTGGGATGAGAGGTCAAGAAAAGGGCGGAACTAAAGACAACTGTTTTGCACCCATGCACGTGAGAGAAAGGGCAGCATGAACACTGGTTGGGCACCCACTGTGGGCAGCCATTGGAAGGTAGAAATGACACTGAGGAAAAGACCATCCTTTCTTTGGTGACACATGGGCTGCACACCCCGTATACAGAAGGTGCTTATTAATTGTGTTACACTGACTAGACTTGGCACCAAGCATGCCAGTGCCCGGGCAAGCAGGCAGGACTACCAACTCACCTGTGCAGAGCTCCTGTGATAAGGGGAGTAATGGAGTGGTCCAGAGATGGCTGCCTCGTGTGGGAGGGCCGGGTACTGGCTCTGCATTGGCGGAGGATGCTGGTTGCCATAGCTCCCATAGTTATAGCTTCCCGTGAATCTAAAACGCATTAAGCACATTGAATATTGTGAGTAATAGCAGGGAGAACAAATCAGTTTGACATCTTTAAAAATCAAGCTCATCTATTTTTTTCCTTTTTGTTCTTTCTGTTCTTTCTTTTTTTCATTTTTTTCCCCCCCTGATTCTTACCATCTCCACATTGTGGCTTTGTTGTGGTAAGTTTTAAGTCCCAGGTTGATTTTCCTTCTCCCCTCAGCACACCTCCCTTACCACCCAGTGAGCTCAGGGAACAAAAGCCCTGAGCAAAACATAATTAGTGATGGAAACCTCTACTCCTGTTGTCTTAAAAAGCCCCATATTACAGCCTGAAGGCAAATAGGAAAAAAAGAAGTTACTGTGGGATTTGTGATTTTGTTTTGTTCAGGTCTCTGTTTCCCCAGGTGGAAGGATGTAGTACCTTCTGTGAGCTCTCTCTTGGGAGTAAACACCATGGCATGGCCGACTGGGCATCAAAGACCCCAATTCTAAGCATATCTCCACCACTTTCTAGCTGTGAGACCGTGGGCTACTTGCAAACTTGTTTCTCCCATTTGTAAAAATGCCACACATGCTTACTCTGAGGGTCACATAGGGAAGACACGCTATAAAATAGAGAATCCTATGGACACAAGGGATGTTCTTATCAGTGCTCTTCTTAATAACAACTTTACAGCAAAGGTGCTGACGTATGGTCACATAGGTGTCTATTCTGCCCTTCCTGCAGGATCCAAAAGCTCTCCGAAATAATTTTCAAAGTCTATTCTAAACGCGTGGGAAAACGCTCTAAGAGGACCCCTGAGAAAATAATGGCTGACTTACTGGCTACTCAGGGGCACCAGAACCTATGGAAATAACTCGAAGTATGTCAGTAGGCAGGTCTGCGCCCACCCTAGGGGTGGTCCTCTTGCTGCATTATGCTGGGCCACTGGGACGAAGGGACCTGAGAGGGCCCCCTCCCTTCTCCTTCCTCTCCTTCTCCTCCTGTGTCCCCCATAGCTGGTATGTTGGAACATGGCTTGTGGGACTGTCTGCACCCACAGAGCAGAGAATAAGGCCCCCCCACCCCGCTTTTAAAAAAACATCATTAAGTGTTTTGTAGACCACTGCACATTGACATTCTAAGATGAGCATGTTTTGATAAAGAAAATGCATAATGGCAAAAATGGCATAAAATCAAACTATGATTGAGGTAGCACTTTTAAATGGATTTGTATTCATCACAGCAACATCGCTACATAATATGGGCAAAATGAATGATTTATTTATTCAGGGTCCAAAGCACCATTGGAACACACGAGGATTCCCTGAACACTATTAATAATCGCCGCCCTTCAGCTCTCAGGTGGGGAAGCCCTCCTCTAAGCTGTCATAAAAGCCTCGGACCTACCATGAAGCTTTATAAGGCTACAAAGTGCACAAACAGCTACCTAGGGAAACCACTGAAAGGGAGTTTTCAGCTGAGACTTTAAAGGAGTGAAGGGAAGAACACAGGCTTTGGAGGCACACAGATGCTCAGTCTGCACCCCACGTTTACGTGTGTGACCTAAAGGAACTGAACTTTATCAAACCAAGTCTCGATTTCCTCATCTGTAAAATGGGGTCGCTAACACCCACCTCACCGGGTCGTGGTGGGAATTGCATGAGACAGTTACACATGGCGTGATGCTGAGCACACTGTGAGAACTCAGCAAAGGTGGCACTCTTCCTGTCCTTTGAGAAAACAACTGCTAAGCAAATCCTGCTCTTTAACATGGCATTTCAAAGTAAGGCAACATCCCAGGAAAGTCACCTACCCGTGCTCCTCTCTGTGGGGATACACTGGTATCCTGTGTGTGACCGAGGAAGAAGGCATATGAGTACTCCTCATACAGGGGAGCTGCTGGGAGTTTTCAGCTGGGGACCCTGCCGCCGTTGTCACCGTGTATGTTAGAGACCACGTGTATGACTGCATCGCTCCTGCAGAGATGAATTAAGATGCCTCAGTCACTAATACAGCTCTTGCACCCCTAGTTCTTCCTTAGAACACTTCAGTGGCTTCCCATTGCTCTTAAGCTGAAAGGCAAAATCTTTACAAAGTATGTGTCTCTGGCCCTGCTGACCCTACCAGAAGAATCCCCTACCCCCTGCCTTTGTTCTATCTCATCCAGCCATACTAGCTTTCATATTTTGATGATTCCCAGCACCACGGGGCCTTTGCACATGCTCTTTCTGCTGTCTAGAATCCTCACTCCTCCCTTAGTACCCACGCATTCTTCATAGCTCAGTACAGAGAAGCTGCCTCTTAACCCCAGACTAGATCAGATTCCATGCTGTACTATGATTCCACGCTGTACTACAGTCCTTCACGGGGCCCACAACAATTTGTAATCTTACATTCATTAATGAATGTGATTTGATTAATGCCTAACCCCCTGCCCCACCAGACTGTAAACCTGTCTATTTTGCCCACCATTGGAGGCCTCCATTATTTAGCACAGAGCCTGAAGGCCAAAAGACTTTCAATAAAAGTTTTAAAAGGAAGAAAAGGGAAAGATAGGAAGAAAAAGGGAAGGAGAGAAGACAAAAGAAGGCTTGAAGCAACAACACAGCTCAGAGAGGCACAGCAAAATGACTTCTCAACACTCAACAGGTGTTAAGGATCCAGCAAATTGCTTTAAGCAAACATAAGGAGATTATTGGGCTTTGCCTGCTCAGGTCTTTTTGAAGATTATTAGACAGTGACCTTAACCGTGACCTATTCCATACATATTATTAACTCCACTAATTTACTTTTTAATTGGATACCTTGAAAGTCCTAGGGACTGAGAAAAGAAACTGACAAAAACCCCTCAAGATGCTTAAGAATTTTATGAGGTGGTTAGAATGAAAAAATGGTAATTTAAGAAATTGCTAATAATAATAATAATAATAATAACAATAACAATAAATGAGCTCATTTTATTTAATAAACTCATAATAACTTGACAATAAGCTCATCAACTTAATTTCTGATACATTCTAGAATGTTGACATAGTGGAAATCATGAAACCTATTTTAGAAGCTAGAGGGAATAGGACTCAACAACCCCTCACAGTTACATGAAAAACTGAAGAATTGGTTAAGGGAGGCCATTTTTTAGAAGTAAAAGAGAAAACTTGATCCACCAATTCTGTACATTCTGCAGCAGACCATTTTTATCTTAAAATTCCTCTGGAAAGATAAAGGTTTCTTCTAAAAAACATCCAGTCCTTTCCATCCCCGGGACTTTGCAAATAGCACCTGAAAGTAGCTGCGTTGACACAGCAGGAGGAAGAAAAGAATGGATGGCTCAGCACTGTGCCAGCGATGTGGCAGAGGAATTCTTATTCCCAGGAAGGAATACTCCAAAAGGCTTGTGAAAAATGTATTTTCAATACATTTGTTTATTGTTAAAAAAATTCTGTTTTGAATCCCTTTGTGAATTGGAGAATCTTTTGGAATGCAAATAATGTCTTTCTTTTTTTTTTTTTAATGAAGTGATAAAGATCCAAGAGCATGAAAGGAGACACCGTTCACTGAGCATCTAATACAGGCCAGGCACTGTGCTAAGTGCGTTACAGACACTCTTAAAAGAAATATTATCCCCAGTTCCTAGACGAGGAAAATGAGAGTTAAATCTAAAAGAATTTAAGGGAGCATATAGGAATACAGAAGATTCGAGAAGAAAAAATGAAAGTGGGAGTGAAAGAAGAAAGCAAAACAAACTTGGAGCCAAAAGTGCCATCAGGAATGAGGAGAAACATGCATCCCCTAAAGGTACAAATTCTTCCTCCACGTGGGCCTTGAACTTGGCTCAGAGTTTCCCAGGAGCCAGTGCTATAAAGGGAAACCTGACAAGTTAGGAGTCGTGAGATAGTAAACAAATCGCTCAGGAGTACACTGTCCTTGGAGTTAAGAACGGACAGGAATTTCAGACGCCCTCATAAAAGAGGCGCCATGTCTTGCTTCTTAGGACCGTTCCTCATGCCAACACTGACTGCAGGCTACTGGCGTCACACAGAAATGTACAATAGAATGTTAAGTAACTTGCCCAAGGTCTCCCAGTGAGTGGGGGGCCAAGTGGGGCTCTGCACCCCGCAATGCCATGTGCTTTCCACTTACTCTACCATAATGTTTCTTTGCTCTGGGTCCTAGTTCTGGCTGTAAGATCTTGGACAAGCCTCTTAAACTGTAAAACAGGGATAATAATATCTATCTTCAAAAACTACTGTGAGGATGAACTGAGATGATATATATATATATATGTAATATATATATATATATCAGAGCCTGGCACGGGGTAGGCTTTTAACGATATTCAAGCACTCTTTCTTATGAATTCATGTATTTTTATATCAGACTTGCTTAAAGTAGAAAATTCGATATATCTCATTTCAGATTCCAAAGAAGAAAGACAAGTTTCTTAGGTCAGATTTTTGTCATCAGGGATGAAATGTTTGTATAGCAACAGTAACTAAGCTAATTACAGCAAACTTCCAAACGTGTTTTTTTGTAAAACCACAGTCCTTATCCACCAGCATGGTTAAAAGTACCCCCTCCTAGTTTGCACATGTACATCATATCCCCCTCTCGTCCGTCCCCCCTCCCCAAAATAATGACTTCAGCAGACTGTGTTAGACACCATTTACCATACGAAGACTGGAAGGAAAAAGCCCCCAAATACCCAGGTTCCAGGTGACTGGATTTTGTGTGATTGCCCTCCTCTGTATTTTGAGCTGCATGTGAAATTACTGTTATAATTTTCTTTTAACTATCGTTTTTATTAGAACAGGTTATCTCTAGGTGGTAGGATTGAGGATGATTTTAAAACTGCTCTTCATTTTGCTTATCTGTATTTTTCTATAATGAACATGTACCACCTCTGTGAAAAGAAAAACATTATTAAACTACATTAAGGGAATTTTACAATTGGAAATGGAATTGGAGGGGGGTGGGAAGTTTGAGAGAACAATGAACCAGCCACAGCAAGCAAGTAATTAACCCTTGAAGCCCCTGGGACCTCAGGAGAGCACTGCGAGGTCAGCGGGGATTGAAAGGGGGCAGCCCAGCAAGCCAAAGGATTTTCTCTTTTCCCCCCAAGCAATGGGAAGACGCTGTGATCATAGCCAGCACCTGAGAGAATGCGGCAGAGGTTACTTTTGCGCGAGCTCCTGGAGATAGCAACTGTTCCTTATTCATCTCTGTATCCCCAACAGAGGAGGGTCTGCCAAATAGTAGGTGTTCAGTAAATTTTTGTTCCATTGAATTTGTTGTTGAAGGAGTAAATGCTGCTAGAAACAGACGTTATCAAACAAAAAGCTAGTGGAAGTCTTGGAAAAATGGGCTCCTGTGGTCTGGGAAACAAAACCCCTAAATGGCCATGTGCCAGCAATCTAACAGACCCACTCAGGCAGGCTTAAGCAGATTAACACCTACTGGCTTGGGTGAGAAACCCTTTTTGCCTGGGTAGCAGAAAAGAACACCCCTTGCATTCCCCTTCTTACCCAGTGGGACCTCCAGTGAGAATTGCTGGTTCTTCTTTTTGAAGGAAACTAATAAAAGAAAATCTGTACAGTTAACAGTTTGTGCTAAATTTTTAAGACAGCTCTAATGCTTTTTATTTGTTGGTTGAAAATGAACAAACCTTCTCTATTTGTCTGATTCTCATATCTTTCTCTTATTCCTCATTCCTCAACCCCTATTTGAAAGTCTGAGGGCAGGGCTGGAAGCCCCTGATCTTTAAGAATCCTACAGAGATCCTAGAGGATTTGAGGATCCTACGGAGATAAGTTGTCCATGTTATAGTATTGAAACTGCTAGAGAGAAACACTTCCTTTCCTTTCCATCCCCAACAAAGCATTATGTTTCCTGGAAGGGGTTGTTATCACAGGACAGGAAGGGTGCTTGGAATATAACAGGCAGTCAGTAATGATCTGTTGAATACATGAGTGAATGATTGATTGATCATCCAACATAAACCAGACCTCATGATGGTTTTTCTTTGTAATACATTGACTCATTGAATCTTTGCAATAACCTTTTGAGGTAATTTTCAGGTGAGACAATCGAGGCCCAAGACTTGCTCAGGTAAGTGGCAGAGTTGGGATCTGGCCCAACTCCAAGCCTTTCCCCAACAATTGCTTCTCACACCTGAAGGTGCATTTGAATCACTGGAACTCTTGTTAAAATTCAGATTCTGATTTAGTAGGCTGGGAGTCCAGCCAGGGATTCTGCATTTATAATCAGCCTTTAAATGATGACAATACTGCTGGTCCGTGGACCACACTTTGAGTAGCAAGGTTCTATAACACACTGCCTCCTGTCAGGCATCCATGTTTAGGGCCATTAAAGAATCAGAAGTTGTGAGATTCTGCTACAGACTTGTGAAAATTTAGACTACTTCCCAAGCTCCCTGGCCGCGCCCTTCCTTCAGATCTGGGACTAAATTGTTTGAACAGTTTCCCCTTTAGCTTTAGGATTCTATGAGCCATCACAGATGTTGCTCAGGTTTTGAGCTAACCTAAGCCTTTTGTTAGTTCCTTCCTGAGACATAAGCTCCTTTAAGTATGTCCAGATTCTAGAGCTGCTCTGCCCTATACAGTAGCCATTAGCCACAGGTGGCTATTTAAATTTAAAATGAACTACCATGAACAATTCAGTTCCTTAGTTGCACTAGCCACATTTCAAGAGCTTGGTAGCCACCTGTGGTTAGTGTCTACTGTTTTAGACAGCTCAGATTAAAAACAAAGTTTCCACCATCATAGAAAGGTCTATTTGAACAGTGTTGCTTGACAATATTTGACACTAGACAAACATTTCATGTAACCTTCAAGATTGAGACAGGGAAAGAAGGTTTCACACACATACATGGGGGGGGGTGCCAAAAAAAATGGATACACATACTTGTATTTGTCTTTTGTTATCGGACTATATCGAGTATTACAATTTTAATACCGTG